TATAGGCTTTTAAAAATGATTTTAAAAGCACGTTATTGCTTCTATCATGTCTTAATCAGAAGCACAGATTGACTACTGTGTTTCTGGACATCAATTGGGCTGAAGTAAATTTTGTACTTATGTACTACCTGTCTTAAGAGTATGGAGTTAGCCACTGTATTCATTTATGTAATTTCTTGGTGGAGGTGGTGGTGGATTTGGGGGGATCCCTGAGACACAGAGAAGGAGATGTGACTTTGAAGTGAGAGTCTAGAAACCCATGTACCCTTCATCCCTACCCAGTTCCTAGATCTGGCTCTCAGAAAAATGCACAGCAAAGATGGGCCCAGTAGACTGAAGGGCTCCTTCCCTCCCTTTTTTCCTTTCTTCCTTTAAGATAGAGTCGCACTCTGTCACCAAGGATAGCATGCTGTGGCATCATCCTAGCTCACAGCAATCTCAAACTCTTCAGTTTAAGTGATCCTCTTGCCTCTCAATATCCCAAATAACTAAGACTGCAGGCACCCACCATAACACCCAGCTGTTGCACCCAACTAGCTATCTTTAAACTAGTTGTATTCATCTCCAAACTAGCTGTATTCATCTTTTCCTAATCTACTCTCTCTCTCTCTCCCCTTCCTATCACCAGACTCTCCAAACTGCATGAAATCTTTTCAGACAGTAATGTGGCATACACGTATCTAATGATTCCTGTTTTGTCGGTGGGAATTAACAATGTGCAATACAGTGCTCGTACTGAGGATAAACTATTATATTTTAATTAAAATGTGTAAATCTTGATGCCTTAAAATGGACACTCTTTTGGCCTTCTGTGGGATGGGAGAAAGTACCAGATGACATGCGCTTTGTTTGTAGGTGTCCTTCAACTTTTAAATGTGGAAATGCAGAACTTCGGGTCACCATCGTACTCATCTATCGAATTCACCAGTGTGTCAGCAGAGTCCTGGGTAACATCTTCTACTCTGCACCAGAGCTGTGGTGGCGGCATCCATGCAGTTGCCAGCCATGGAATACGTTTAAATGACAATGTAGTGTTTGGCACAGCTGGCCATGGCATGGATTTGGAGGGTCAAGCCTATTCTCTCACTAACAACCTGGTGGTTCTGGTGATACAGCCAGCATGGTCTAGTGTTTGGGTAGCAGGAATCAAAATGAACCATGCAAAGGACATTGACCTTCGTGGCAATGTTGTAGCTGGATCAGAGAGACTTGGCTTTCACATCCGAGGCCACCAGTGCCCCTCATCTGAAGTGCTTTGGTCTGACAATGTGGCCCACTCAAGCCTTCATGGCCTTCATCTCTATGAAGAAAGTGGACTTGGCAACTGCACTGGTATCTCTGGCTTCCTGGCTTTCAAGAACTTTGACTATGGTGCCATGCTACGTGTGGAGGACAGGATGGAGATAGAGAACATCACTCTGGTAGACAATGGTGTTGGTCTTTTGGCAGTAGTGTATGTGTCTCCAGCTTCACAGAGCTCCATGGAAAACATGCAAATTGTGCTTAGGAGTTCAGTCATTGTGGCCACCAGCTCCTCTTTTGACTGCATTCAGGACAGAGTGAAGCCTCACTCAGCCAATGTGACATCAGCAGATCGAGCTCCTTCCAATCCAAGAGGGGGCCGAGTTGGGATTCTGTGGCCTGTCTTCACCTCAGAACCAAATCAGTGGCCTCAGAGGCCATGGCATGAAGTGAGGAATGACCGTTCAGTTTCAGGAATCATGAAACTTCAAGGTAGGATGCCAAAGCCTTATCCAAGCAGTATAGTTTAATGTATCCATACATGGAATTTTTAATAGCATTCTGAAATTATGTCAATTAAAAGGTACAGTGGGGTCTAGCGCTTGTTATCCAGTTGATAACCTGTTGGTACTAGTAACCACAGTAATGGTTTATAACATCAATAAATGATTCTTTACAAAAGTTTCTGCTTTATAATGTTGAAGAACTTCCACAGCAATTCTTTATCTGGGTTATATGACAGCTCTCCCAGGTGGCATTATTTTTCTTCTGATATAGTTGAGAAAACTGAGATGTAAAAATTGTGCCTCATTTGAGGTTTCCTAGTTGTTGGTTGGGTAGCTAGGGTTTGCTTTCTATCAGATGTCTTTGTTTGTTTGTTTGTTTGTTTTGCACTTGGAAGTTTTTATTTTTTATTTTTTTTAATTAAATGATAGCTGTGTACATTAATGCAATCATGGGGTACAGTGTGGTGTTTTCATATACAATTTGAAATATTTTTATCAAATTGGTTAACATAGCCTTTATGTCATCTTCTTAGTTATTGTGTTAAGATGTTTATATTCTACCCTTAGAAAGATTCACTTGTACCCTTGTAGGGTAAACCATAGAAGTGATCCCTCCAATCACCCTCCCTCCACCCCTCACCCCTCCCCTCCCTCTTCCCCTCCCCCTTCCCCATATTCTTAGACTATAAGTAGGTCATAGCTTTCATATGTATCAGATGTCTTTTGCTCTGTTGTACTCACTCGCCATTTACTTAGTCTGGTAATGGTTTATCTTTCTGTGAAATGAATAGATTGGGATTAAGCCTTTGATGCAAAGTATTGCTTTCAAGGCTTTAATGTGTTGGAATACTCTTTTTTATCATGCAGTGTTCAAGTATTAAAGAATTACAGATATTTTATAACAAAATTTATGTAAACTCCTGGAACTATCCTGGATAACTAAAACTAACTGTCCTGAAAATATAGTTTTATAATAATATTTAGTTGTATAACTTATGTTTATAGTGAGTCCTTTACATGATATAACGTTATATGTTTTTTAAAATTTTCAGATGTCACCTTTACTGGTTTTGTGAAAAGTTGCCATAGCGATGACCTGGATGTCTGCTTTCTGCCAAATATAGAAAGCACTGGAATAATGCCCCCAATAACAGCAGAGAGGACCCGGATGCTAAAGATGAAAGATAAAAACAAGTTCTACTTTCCTCTGTTACAGCCCAGGTATCACTTTTTGTATTTAAAATCAGCTATTATTGATGAAGGCTTTGGCAATTCTTCAAATCCCTGAGCATTTTAAAAAGAAGAATAAAATCATCAGAGAAATAAAATAAGTGTTCTAGGATGGTCTGGTACATTCTTTATCCCTCCTCTATTCATGCCCTTTCATATATGATTTTTAAAATATCTCTTACTAAAGAGGCAGAACCTATTTCTTGTTCCCCATGGAGTACAATGTCAGCTGTCTTCAGAAGGAGGCCTTGGGAGCCCTTGGTAAGGGACCCAGGGAAATGGCAGGAGATGTTCTGTTGTTAGGAAACTCCAAACTGAACGGTGAGACAGACATAGGCGCTCAGAACAGGTGTAACTACTTTGCTCAGACATATGATCTGAGGATCTTATTCAAGGATCAAACAACTAGGTAGGTTAGACAATTTGTGTTACTTTATCATTGTTCTTACACTGTCTTATTTTTCTTATGTTCATATTGATAGGCTGAAATAAAGTTACATGTATTTGTTTGTGCTGTTGTAACAAAGTATCACAGGTTGGATAATTTATAAAGAACAGAAATTCATTCTCACAGTTCTGGAGGCTGCACAGTCCAAGACCAAGACGCTGGCAGGGTTGATACCTGGTGATGGCTATTTTCTGCTTCTGTGATGAAGCCTCTTTGCTGTGTTCTCTGGAGAGGAGGAACTTAGGTCCTCATGTGGCAGAAGAATTGGAAAAGCCAAAGAGTGATCTTTTCAACCTCAAGCCCTTTAATAAGGGTGCTAATCCCATTCATGAGGGTGCAGAACCCTCAGGATTTAATCACCTCCCATGGGCCACACTGCCTAATAGTGTTCCAATGGAAATTAAGTCTCAACATGAATTGTGAAGGGACACCATTATTCAAACTACAGTATTACATAATATTAGAATCTTATTTTGTGTACTAATACTCAATACATGGTTTACTATAATAAATATGTAATATGATTAGCGGTAGTACCTCAAAGAATTAGACCAGAGGAAATGAAATAAATTCTCTGTAATTCAGTGTTGTAATTACCTATTACTTGTTTACACATTCCACTTAACTCTAAATTTTGGAAGTGCAGAAATCATATCTATCTTTATCATCATTGTATTCCCCAAATTTCAGTTGTAGGTTTTTAGTAGTTATTTGGTGAATGAGGCTATTTTTACTTTGAATATACCAAAATTATAATTGATATTTATAATGATAATCTTAAACTATTAAAAATCTTTGACATTCCATGAGAAATAATTATATCATTTTCAGTAGATATTAGAGCTAGGAACATTTTATTCTATCTTGTTTCTTAGAAAATCAGTGATCTGCGTAAAGATTATATATCCAGATATCCAGACTATTTGGTTAATAAGATCTGTCTTCCTGACTATTTAACTGGAAAAGAACTCATTTTATATAGAGTTATCTATGTAGCACATTATTAATAATAAAATCTGTTGAATTTATTTTACACAGGATCAGCACTGCCTAGATATGTCTTCTTTTGCTGCTTATCATGGAATGAGAAAATTACTTTCTGTTTTCCCAGGAAAGATTTAGAAAGAGATGTCTGTGCTGAATCCAATTGTGAAAATCCAAGAAAATATCTCTTTAAAGATCTGGATGGGAGAGCCCTGGGTCTGCCTCCACCTGTTTCTGTATTTCCTAAAACTGAGGCGGAATGGACTGGATCCTTCTTCAACACAGGTTAGTGGTATCTGAACACGTCCCCTCTGGGAGAGGCAGTATGCGTAATTTAGCTGTGGTGTTCAGTGAGAACAGAATGTGCTGGAGAGGAACCAAGGTCTGAAGTTGGAGTCTGTGTTGATATGCTCTCTACTCACCTGTATCACAGGAGTGCTGGATCACAGGGAAATCTAACAACCTTACTGCTGTGCCCTCTGTGAGATGGCTTGTGTCTGTGTCAAAGGTACAGTTTCCCAACCTGTGCAAGGTGGGAAAACAACCGTCGGACCAGCTCAGGCATCTGGGTGTGAAACAGCATCACGCTAGGCAGTTTACAGCATCTGCCATGGAACCAGCTTCTCTGGTTTCTTTGGTTGCTTTTCTCTTCTACCAGGAGTTGAAGGTTCTCTCACTCTGGAGAGAGGATAATAGGGTAGGTCCCTTTTCTCCATGTTCCCACTGTGCCTCACACCGGGTTGGACTCACAGTCCCTCTTCTTCTTTCTGAATATATCACCAAACCCCTTTTCATTTCAATTTTACAGGTAGACCCCTGGAAATATCATAGTCTTTTTTCATATATTTCTACCAGCAATGAGGCTCTGTGTGCCCCTTTGAGATCCACTCAAACCTGGTGCAGTTAAATGTAAGGAATATTTCCTGCTTTCTCCCTACCCCGTGAGTTGGTTCATTCTAAACTTCTTTTCTGGTCTGGTCTCCCTTTGCCTTTCTAAGTTCTGAATGTCTGATTGTCCCAGGACTATGTCCTTGAGACTCCCCCCACCCTCATATTGCTCCCTAAGCCCAAGGCTGAAATACCATCTAATGCCGATGACTTCTAATTTATATCACCAGCCCAGACTTGATCCTGAAATTGGCTCTAGTACCTTCAGTGGAGTCTACTGGCAAGGATAATAGTCACCTTAGACTCAGTGTGCCTGCTCCCATCCACAAGCTGCTTCTCACCATTCATGAGGTCATCTAAGTAAAGAACCTAAGCGTGACCTTATTTTTCTTTTTCCGAACCCGAATCCTCAAAGTTCTCATTCCCTCCACCACGGCCACACCATCTGGCCATCACCGTCTCTCATCAGAAGAGGGAACAGTCTCCTTCCGGGTCATCTTTCTTCCTTCCTGTAGCCTACTTAGGCGTCCTCAAATTACTGCCCCCAGGCCACATGTGGCCTGCCCAGGACATTTATCTGGCCCACCGGGTGTTTTTGCCACTGCTGCCTGTCCTGCTTAGCAGCCAACTCATCCTGGGGCCTGCAGTCCGGCTCTCCAACGATCTGAGGGACAGTGAACTGGCTCCTTGTTTAAAAAGTTTGAGGCCCCCTGCCAGAGTGATCTTCTAACATTCCAGTGTCTCTCTGTCCACTCAGAACTAAACCTAAACTACAAACCTACAAGTTTGTCGCGCCTACTTCCTGCCTGCTCTCTCACCTCCTCTTTTACGATAGTTCTTTAACTGGCTCATCCTAGTCTTATTATTATTATTTTTAATATCATCAGCTTATTTCTACCTCCAGAGCCTCTGCACTGGTTTATTTTCCTCTGCCTAGAATATCTTATTCTCCCTTCTTCTTCTTCTTTTTCTTCTTATTCTCATTTCTTTGAGAGCTCGTTCTCTCTGTTCAAATAATGACTCCTCAGAGAAGCCATTCTTGGCCACCCTCTATAACAAAAATCACATAGCCGTGATTATCTTGCCCTACTATGCCTGCTTTATTTGGGGCTGAATCCTGTTACTTGACATTACATTATAAGTGTAACTGCTTACTTGTTAATTTGCTGTGTGCCCCTTTAGAATGCAAACTTGGTGAGGCCAGGAACTGTGTGCTATTCACTTGTGTGAATTTAGGGGAATGCTCAACAAACATTGGCTGTCTGATCAAATGAGAGAATCATGGGTAGCCATGGAGAATAGTAATGCCATTTCTCCTAAGCTGTGAAGATCAGGCAGAAGCAGTGGAGGCATTTAGGTTACTGGCGTAAGGATTTATCTGTGTTATAGAAACCTGAAATGCAGATGGCTCTAGGTATATTTTTTACTTGTTTCCAATATTTCTTTTATCTAAACTGCTTGTACAGTAGAGCATTTGGCATTTTGAGCTGTTTCTACATGGAATCCTTTTAATTAACATAAAATTTATGCTTGAACAGTTATACTTTTTAATATGGATGTTACATTTTTTCATATGTTGAAAGCTTATCTGTGCAATAGAGTGACAAGCTGTGGGGACTTCAGTATAGGTTTTAAAGTCGGTGCTGAGCACACAGAGATGATAAGTAAATATTCCTCTTAATATGTTGGTTACATTTACTGAGTATAACCAGCAAATACATTTTTGCAGAGAAGAATGAATTTTAGGGGCACATATATATTGAGAAAATATGTGGGGAGTAGTAATAGAAAAAAATAAAAATGATCATCAGTGACCCTTTCATTTACTCCTAGGTGTACTCAAGGAGTTTTCTATAGTAAGTTTATCTTTTGGTTTTAAAAATATTTCACTATTACGGGTATTTATGCTGCAAGAGAAATCTTCTTATATGTGAAAATTAGGATGTGAATAATAGTGTGGATTTTTGGACTTGTGGTTTTTGGTGAGGATCACACCTCTGGGAAGGCAATTACAAGGGCATGTGTGTCCCAAAGTATTTAATTAAATGATGTTTAATTCTAATAGAAAATAAAAGGACTACAGACAGTGTCTTAGTTTGGGTTCTCCCAGCTGTGGATCCCAATACAAGGCTGAGAATCCAAATAGTCTATGTCATGGGTGGTTCCTGAAAACATCAATAGAGAAGTGAGGAAGAGAGACAGAATAAAAGAAAAATATAATGCCAGAGAAGGATGTGTCATCAAACTGGTTATCTGGAAACTGGAACTCAAGTCTAGAAACTAGAACTCTAAGGGAATATAACCCCCCTTAGAGTCATAGGGAATAGGACCCAAGTGACCTACAAGGATGCTAATATATTTATACACATATTTCAATTCCTTGCTCATTGTTGGTTGAGAGATCCTTCTGGGGAGGCGAACACTCCAGCATTTTGGCTTTCCCTGAACACAGGCCAACTGTGCTCTTTTCTGTGGCCACCAAAAGATTTTCTTTGAAAGCAGGCATAGGTTTTTGCAGCAGTACCTTTGATGTGTGAAAGCGAGTGTCCAAAATATATGGGTGTGGCATTGAAAGCATATGTTAAAAATAGGAACCCTAAAATGTCAATCGAATGCTCCATGTTAAATCCGAAGTGTTCTCTTGATGGACTTGGAGGCGATTGCCCACCGTGTGGGGTGATAAGTTGTTTAGGTGTGGATATGTGCTCACTGCTGGTTGCAAGGCTGCTGTTTGATTTTTCTCAGCTCTGCGCCAGGCATGGCTGTCAAACATGATTCAGTGGTGAGGCTTGGCAGGTGACATGATATTACACGCCATCTACTCTCAGTGTGTGCATAATCACGTACGTGTATGAGTGGCTGAGCATCTACATAGAAGCGTACACGACTGGCTGTCTAAACTTCTGAAGCTTTAAAGCTTTATAACATTTTTAATGAGGTTGCTATATGTACCGACTGCAAGGATTCCCACCGTGGAATCTGCTGTTTACCGCACTAAAAATACAATCTGTATCCTCTTGCAATGAAGGAGACAGCACATAGTAAATGGTGCCTTCCGGGGCTGACAAGATTGTCGTGTTTTTCTTTGACTTCCAAAGTATGAGTAAATCCCCTCTTCCCTAATGCAAGTTCCTTTTTATTTTCTAAACCGTTTTCTCTTCACTACTTTCTAGTGCCTGTCTACAATCTAGTGGATGAGGAAAACACAGATTTAATCCTCAGAGAATTAATGTCTATTTTGTATTTTCCCTCTTCAAGGCAAGACTCTATGATCATTTTCAGTAAAGTGGAGAAGACAATGTAGCTAAGATGCAAATGGAGACCACTGGAGCCAAATTTTATGTTTATTCCACATGTAACTTCATTTGATACCCCCTTTCCCTATTTGATTAATAAATCTCTCCAAGCCATTTGGAGTCCATTGCCTTTGAGGTTTATTTTTAATTTGGAACATAACAGATTTTCTTTGCACATATAAGTTCACATAAAAACTACCCACTTAGTCAGATATCCACGGGCCCTAGCATATTGTCACATACCCTGGCATCAGGAGCGAAACCCATCCGTGTGGATCAGTGGTGAGGAACACTGCCAGTGGGTTTTGCTATCTGTGTAATGCAGGGTGTGTAGCCAGGGGAGAAGTGAGCTGTTAATTTTGTTTCATACTTATCTGTAAGTTTGCATTTGCAGCCAACTGTGAAAAATGCACAGCAATAGAGAGTAAGACAGCTGATCCCAAGCCGGTGATCCTGTGGGAACCATTTACATTTTATTCAGGAAAGGATTTCTTTTGGTTATGACAGCATCTGATGATCTGAAAATCCAAAGTCATTTAGATTCTTTAGAAAAATGAAGTCTTGGAATTAAGGTTGCGTTGGGTAGGACTAGACAGATGCCAGAACCTTTCCTTCCATCTTTGTACTCACTTCCTGTATGGTCCAGGCTACAACGGATGGTGTCACCTCGCAGTCTGGTTTACATATGTGAAGTACCAGTGCTCTTGGTAGGGACAGAAGGAAATCAGAGATTTAGTTTCAGTAGCATTTTATAATTTCTCATCTGTGAAAAAAAAGTGGAAGGGGGTAAAAGGAGAGGCAGCATGACTTGCATCATGCCTTTCCTATGCTCCCTGTGGAATGGCGAGTGCAAGGGCGTCTCGCCCACCCACCATCTACCAGCACTTTGCTCAGCATGGAACCTGTGGGAGAGAACAAGACCGCATCCCTGCTTCCGTGAAGCTTATGTTCCAGTGGGAGGAGATACAGGAACCAATAAAAATATGTTCCAACAGAGAAGAGAACAGTGAAGAAAATAAAGTAGCATTTTGGGGTTCAGAGGTAGTTTTAAATATGTGTGTTTGTGCATGGTGAGGGAGTTGCTATATGAAATAGCTACAC